CATCCTACTACTCTCTCCATCATGAAATATTAGTTGTATTATGAAGATTTTAGAACATATAAGAGAGATACAAAAAGACGCATGTGCCCTCACTTTATTTCCTAACTAGAGGCTATCATCGATATGATTAATAATGATTGGTTAATAAACGGCAAGTATAATAATATAATACCTATCCAATTTATGCTATTATTTTGCAAACTATTTTTTGTCCTTTAAAATTCTTTATATTTAAGTATAAATTTTGAATGCTTCTATGCGTAGGAAGGAGGAAGTACTGTATGTGCTAATGTCGGGGACTATGCAGCCTATTCGGTTGGCTGGTTCGTTTCGTCGCTTGGGTTTGTGAAGAAGTACTGCTGGCGGGTTTGTGTGAGAAGAAAATACTATTCCAACTAAAAATTTACGATCATTTACAACAAGCCATGGCTAAACGAACAGCCTCATGGACATGGATGAGTAACTGACTTGACACCTAACGCTAGTACTTTGACTTTTATCATGGCATGTCGGCCTAGGGCACACCGTTTCTACGTCTCCAGGGCCACTCTGGTCCAGACAGGCCAAACCAGAGCAACCCCGGTTTTTCCAGCTGAAACCAGTCGGATCGCTGGAAGCCTTTCCAGCTTCCCCCCTGGTCAAACAGTCACATTCACACCAAGCTAGATTCACTGCACTCGCTGCTCTCAGCTGGGTCTAGCTTCTCATTCCATGTCGTTAAAGGTGAAGCAAAGAAAAGGTCCGTCAAGACGTGAGGCGAAGCTGTGCAATTACTGCGAAATTGCAAATGCGATGCGGACAAGGAGGAAAGCGACCCGTCGTCTTGATAAGCATGCAAATGTGAGATGTGTGCGTGGCTTCCGCTGCTCCGCATACTACCGAGAGTTCAGTCAGGTCGACTCCGTACGAAAGCAACTTTTGGGATTTTCGGTCAGACGTTGGCAGATGAGTAGATATGCATTTCTTTTCAAAAACAAATAACAAATTTGTGCTAAAGGCTTCAAGAGACTAGAAATTCGAGGTGGAGCCCAGCTCCGCTTAGAGGAAGGGCTTCAACTGGAGACTAGAAATTCTGGAGGTGGAGCAAAGAGGCATCATGCTATTAGTGCTTAAACATTCATAAAGGGGTATGGGTGGTCCATATAAGCAACAGGTAATAAAACTAAGATATAATATAAAATAAAACCTAATTATAGACAAATTAGGTTGGTGCTATCATATTATCTACATTAGCAATAGAGATGCATAAAGACTTTGCTATTGAGGGTGCAATCCAACTTCAAAATATGGCCTCAACTCTCGAAAAGTTCACTAGAATACTGGTTTCCATGGCGAAATCTTGACGGGACGATGATCATTTTTAATTGCAAAATTGATATCTTTTTATTCGAGCTTCAAATATAGCAAATAATATATTAATTTTGACCTCGACGAGCTTTTGCAATGGTGTACTGCGTTTTGTTGTTTGAGATAATTTTATTTCATGAAAAAATAAATATTTCTACAAAACAAGTTAGAATAATGTAACTCGTGGAATTTGTTAGATAAATAATATTTTTATTATTATGTAACACGAAATGTTGTCTTTTAGGTTCATTTGACCATAGAATATATAAGTTTGACCATTTTTGAAATGCAATAATTCAAAACTTGTTTTGTAGAAATATTACGCTTTCGTGTCGCTTGGGTCCGCAAATATTTCGCAATAATTCAAAATATTTGCCGTGTGGTGGTGAGCGTGGCGCGAGGGGACGCGAGGGCGGTGAATCCTCGCCGGACGACCTTCCCGTGGGCACGATGCCGCACAAGATTCTAGCCCACTATCTAAGTCAATTCAAAACATTCATAAAGGACTCAGGTACCGATAGTCCATATAAGCAACAGGTAATAAAACTAAGATATAATATATAAATAAATACCTAATTATAGACAATTATTTCACCACAAAAGGTTCATCTCTAGGAGCGATAAACATATCGTTTGATCATATATTATCTAGGAAGGTTACATTAGCAATAGCGTCCAAAGTTAAATAATTTGACTACGTTGGTGTTGAACCTATAAATAAAAGTTTAAAAACATTAAAAATTAATAGGAGATCGAAATAAAATTATAAAACACAATTTATTAGTGACAAAAATTGATAATAGGAACTTTTTCGAGAGTGGAGGCTAATGTTGTCCACATACCGCCTACGATAGTAATGAAGAATAAAAAATTAGTGAATTCAATGTGGGATGGAACACTGACATGTTTTTCTACTTGTTTGGCTACCGCCTCCAGTACCGCACATCGGCAGTTCGGCACCAGCGATTTTTGGATGCGAGGCCGTGAAGCCGACTTGCCCCTCACAAGCCACGAGCAAGTCTATATGCTTGAATTAGTCTATAACTTTATCACGTGACCCGTGACTAACGGACCTTTGCTGTTATGCTGGCCATGCCTCGAACCACTTTATAGTAAAATCTAACTGGACAATAGAAAAATAATGGGGTATAAGAGCATCTTCACAGCTCCTCGATACAACTCCTTTAATAAGACGATTATAAGAGGAGATGCTTCAACAGATGACCAATAATTTTTCCCCATACGTGGGACCTATTTGTCAATTTATTGTGTTTGTCTATAAATCTCTCTCCCCTTTTCTCCTTGGAAACTAAATAAAGCATACGAACAAACAAATAAAGAGCTAAAAAATGATCGGATAACTGTCCAAGTAATCCAAATGACCATTCTCAATAACGAACAATCAATTGACATCAATTAAACAGGAATCATAAAATATGCTACAGTGATATGTAATCTGCAACTTTAGGAAGAAAAACTATAAGAAGAATCAACAGACCTGGCCAAACCCTAGGAACAAATAACAGCCTAACCTTAGGAAGAAACACTATAAGAAGAATCAACAGACCTGGCCAAACCCTAGGAACAAATAACAACCTAGCCAAGTCCTAGGTACTGTGGCTCGACGCTTCACCGGCAGCAGCGAGGAGACGAACTGTAATGAAGCTAGTGCAGAAACAAACAGGTGTGGAAACGGGCAACAAGCGCAGAATAAAAATTAAAAACACAAAATCAGTGGACTAGCTTGAGGGACCCGTTTGTCATAGAAGCCAAACAAGATCGCGCGGCCAAAAAATCTAGTGCTGGCAGACTCTGTGTTGGGGGTGATATGCCCTTTCGGCACCCCCGCCTTGCCATCAGTATTTTCGTAGGACTACCTTTCGGGAGACCAATGGCTATCGGCAGGGAAGGCGAAGGTCTTTTCGTCTCTACCAAGACGAAAGGCCTTTCGACCTATACAGCCATAACCTGCCGAAGTGGTGCGGGTGTCTTTTCGTTCATCATGACGCTTTTGTTACGATGATGTATGTGTTGTGTAGGTTGGCCCTTTTTGTCGGTGTTGCGAAATGGCGGAAGCAGACAGAAGGACAGGAGCCGCGCGGCTCCTTTGCCGTGGTCCCCCCCCTCTTACGTTAGTTGTAAAGCGGGAGAAGGGGGACCAGGCGAGGAAGGTGTTTACCGGTGGAGGCCAAAAGCGGAATGGACCAAGGAGGTCATGGGGGTACAGAATATGCTCTAGAATCTGGGCAGTTAGACAAGCATTTCTATCATTGTGAATAATTTGAATGTGTGTAAATAGAGCTCTAGGAGAGCCGTGTAAGAGGGAGGAGGAATGAAACCCTGATTCTTCTGATTATTGATATTCGTCATTCTGCTGTTTCCTATTCGTTTTGTTCATCTTTACATTTTCGACTACTTGAGCGGCAACCAAGTGTTTCAAGGCTACGGTTGGAACCAACACGTCATATAGCTTTTCTATAAATGTTAGAAAGACTCTTGGAGATGCTCTTAGAAAAAAATGATGTCCGTGTCCATAAGTAGTTTGACCATTAAAAAGAAAATTAATCAACCACAATCTCCAAAAAAAACATAAGCGGCGTATGGACATGAAATACTTTTATTCACATGGCGATGCATATATAAAGGTAAAATGTGGATTTTTAGTAAATACTAGAAAATCAGAATTAAGCCTTGAAGGGTAGAGAGAGAGAGAGAGAGAGGCGAAAGCGACAATGCAAGTACAAAATCCACACCATATTTTGCTAACATACCGACATTACCATATCCACTTCCAGCGTGGGAGAAGAGAAGCACCCATAATAAAAAAGGGAAGGAGCTGAAAAGGAGAAGGGGACGAACCTCGTCGAGCACGAACGTCCGAACCCGACAGGGACACGGAATGCGCACCCGAGCACCGCACCCCGTGTTACACACCACGCCGTGCTGCACTGCTGCTGCTTCTGCCCCGCTCGTTCTCGCCCCGCCCCGTCTCCAACCGGAGTACCGGACTTTGAAATCCACGAGCACCTCCCCCGTCCTCACGCCCCCCGCCCCTCCTCCCTGCTCTCCGCCTCCCCGCCCCCATCGCCGCCCACCAGCACCTCCGGCGGCCCCCACCCACCCACCTCCTCCTCCCCGCGTGCCCGCGGCCCGCACCCGGCGTCCCTCGCGGCGGCGACGCGCGAACGTCCCGTTCCCTTCCCCGGTGGTGAGCGCCCCCTCTCTGATCTAATCTTGTCCACACGACTCTGCATCTTTCGTTCCGTTGGATTTCGTCTGGTCGCTGGAGAAACCGGATCTTCTACGTCCGGGCCAGCGGAGGACGGGTTCTCCCTCCCGTTCGGGCGGCCGCAGAGGTCTCCGAGCAGCGGAAATGGCGTCGTTTGGTCAAACTTTTTGGTCCCAATCAAAGCACCGGAAGAAAATTTTCCCGTTCCTTTCTCCTCTTATAGGTTGATGATGTTTCGGATGGCCCCCTGTTCCCTTAATTTCATTCCACTAATGCTCCAGACCTCATAATGGATGGCCTCCGTTCTAACCATTCTTCTTGCACAGGGACGGTAGCCAGTGAAAAAGTTGCGCCTCTGTTTCTGAAATGCTTTCGTTTCCTGTGCTCTCCCTGATCACCAACAGAGTAACGGAGAGGCCGAGCCATGAGCGGAGGGGTGGAGCCGGAGACCCCGTCGGGTAGCAGCAGCAGGAGCGGGGGCAGCACGCCCGTGGGCGGCAAGCCGCCGCGCCACCACCTCACGTCTATCCGCCACTGCGCCCGCATCGCCGCGGCCTCCGCCGAATTCGTAAGCAAGCTCGCTGCCACCCCCAGCCATTTGTCCCCAACACAAATTTGACGTCTGTCGTTTTGTTCTCCTGCTGCAGGGGCTGGATTCGGGGACGCTCAGCTTGATCTCACCTACCGCAGACATCCGTCCGGGCTTCTTGCCCGTGTTCAGGTCAGGGAGTTTTGCGGATATTGGGCCCAAATCGTACATGGAGGACGAACATGTCTGTGTGGACAACCTCGTCGAGCACCTTGGACTCGGTGGCCCGGGCATCTCTGCACCGGGTGCCTTCTATGGGGTGAGTTGGAATTGCATCTTCCATCAAACCTAAGTGCGGACTAACTGCTTTTGTTAAATAGTTAACAACGCGTACTCTTTATGGATCTATGATTTGTTCTCTTGTGAGTGGCAATAATGTTGCTATGATAGCTTCTAAGCTTACTAGTTTATTCTGCCTGGGGATGCATGGATAGTCCTCTAGTGTATTCATGAATCATGATGGTAGAAATGATAATTGCCTTTGATAAAAAAAGAAACAAACCAAGGTGATAAATGCTTTTCTTTCAATTATGGACCTTTTGGTACTGCACACCACATATGGGAATTTTGCTAGTGAGAAATAAGTGTCTTGCTCTTTAGCCACCTGGCCTTGCAGATTTTTACTGTTTTGTTTGTGAAAATTTAGGTGTTTGATGGCCATGGTGGTACTGATGCTGCCTGTTTTGTCCGGAAGAATATACTGAAGTTCATAACCGAAGATTGCCACTTCCCCAACAGCATCGAGAAGGCAATCAGAAGTGCTTTTGTAAAGGCTGACCATGCAATTGCGGATTCCCAATCTCTTGACCGGAATTCTGGGACCACAGCGTTGACAGTCCTTATATCTGGCAGGTAAATTTCCATGTTAGTACATCAATATGTATGCTTTAGAAATTTATTGACACTTCAACATATTGGTCAATATAATCATGTTGCTATATAAGTATAGTCCTAATATTTGCTGATAACATAATAAATTAAGTAGTAGTCCAAAAGATTTGGTGTGGACATTTGATGTTAATGTTTCTCTGTAATTTTTTTTGTTACATGAAATTACTAAGTTGATGACAAGTTTCGTTTCCAAGAGAAACTATTACTAGTTAAAACCCTGTTCATGGATTTATGGATCAGTAGAGGCACTTCCTTTCATTTTACCTTTATTATGAGTTTCGTTTCCAAGAGGAACTATTACTTAAAGCCCTGTTCATAGTACCTTTATCTGACAGTCGTTTCACATGTACTGCCTCAACATCCAATATCATCTGTACATTTAAGGTTCTTTGCTGGGCCAAGCTGTTCTTGGGGCCTTATTACCTTTATGGGTTGATAAAGTTCAACATTACAGCCTGTATGCTGTTCACAGCCTTTTTTTTTATTAATTATGTACTATGGCATCTCAAAGTATGCACTCACCAACCTCATTAAAATGGTGCAGGACACTGCTTGTTGCGAATGCCGGTGACTGTCGAGCTGTATTAGGAAAGCGAGGCCGAGCTGTTGAACTGTCTAGAGACCACAAACCCAGCTGCACAAGTTGAAAGGCTCAGAATCGAAAACCTTGGCGGTACTGTCTTTGACGGCTACCTCAACGGTCAGCTGGCTGTAGCAAGGGCAATCGGTGATTGGCACATGAAAGGCTCCAAAGGCTCTGCATGCCCTCTTACACCAGAACCTGAGTTTAGGGAGGTTAGGCTTACTGAGGAAGATGAGTTCTTGATAATAGGCTGTGATGGCCTTTGGGATGTGATGAGCAGCCAGTTTGCTGTTTCCATGGTAAGGAAAGAGCTGATGGAACACAATGATCCACAACGGTGCTCGCGAGAGCTTGTCCAGGAAGCGCTTAGGCGTGACTGTTGTGATAACCTAACTGTAGTTGTTGTGTGCTTCTCAGCCGACCCACCCCCTCAAATCGAGGTCCCAAGATTCCGAGTACGAAGAAGCATCTCAATGGAAGGGCTGCATACGCTGAAGGGAGCTCTTGACAGTAATGTCTGAGCTCTAAAAGTGTACCTTCGCCTGCAACAATTGTGGTGTGAAGAATTTTCTCTTCTTTGTTGGTCTGTTAAAGTTTTGCTCCACTCATTGGTGTTTTGAGATATAGATCTCGGAATAAGTTTTGTAGAATTATTTTGGAAGAAATTTTGTTGAGGTGTAGGCTAATTAATCTTTTTTTTTTGTTGAGGCAATGATTTATATGTACCGGCCACCATTTGATTGTTGGTTGCTCACAATGTAATCGAGCAATTAACCGACATTGTTCTGGTACGAATGAGAGTTATAGCAGTTGATCATTTTTTTTTCACTGGTTCAGAATTCCACTTGTATGATTGGATGAGCTCCCTGTCCATTATCTGAACCAAAAGAGAATAAAGTTATTATGGGATGAATCCTGTCTATGGCCTGGTACAGATTTTGTCCATCCTTTTGCGTATGGGAAAACTTGATCAAAACATTTCTTGACTATGTTATTTGTTGGGAATTGATTGATCTGCAGTAGATGCAGACTTCATTTGATTTAACAATGTTCTGAAACATTTTCATTTGTAAGTTTCTCCTGTTGTAAGGAAAAAAACAAAACAAAAGAAAGACACATAACACAGTACAGAAGCCGCAGCAGCATGGAGCAGAGCCGATCAGCGATGTTCCTATAGCTTGTGAATGGTAGGGTGCATGTGCATGCATACGGGTCTGTCCGCAGTTCGGCACCTCTGGATGCACAATCTCCTCTAACTGCCGGCGAGACCAGCCGTCATTCGACATCTCTCGTGAGTCTGGCCGCAGTCCCGGGCGCCGCCGGCACATCATGCGGTTCGCGTCGATTCCAGCCGTCTGCCACTCGCGCAAACGGCCCTTTGTCTGACTGGCGCCTCGTGCTTCCAAGGTCCGTCTTCGTGGGTCTCCGGCATTGACGACTGAATGGCTGATGACTGAGGAGACTCGATCACACTGCAAACAGCGGCGCACGGACACAAGACAGCGAGGACGCCGTTGGAATTGGCAGTGGAATTCTTCTCTCCCGGCCCGTGAGTCCAGCCGCGTTCCACGGCTCAAGCGCCCGGCTCCCCATCACGTGGTTCGCGTCAATTCCAGTTCCAGCCGTCCGCCACGCCCACGCGCGCACACGTCTTACATGACTTGTCGACCGCGACCCAAAGGCGCGCTCTCGGCGCTCGGGGTTTGCCGCTAGCTTCGGTCCTCGGTAGGTTTGGACCCTCGACCACCGGCTAGTCTGTAAAACTGTGGGCACACACACAAAGCGTGTGGTCGTGTGGAGACCAGACGGGCTGAGTCGTCGCGTGTGTCCGGCACAGGCACATTACCAGTTCCGCAGTTCGGCAGCAGCCGCATAGCCCACAGGAACCAACTCCATACTATTTTTTTCATATAATAAAAGTAAAAAATTTACTCCAAACCGATCTTCAGTACGTAGTACATCAGTACAGTGTACAGGCGTATAAGTTGAACAAAGCGGCGCGGCGCAGTACTAGTATCAAGAGTCTATGTACAACATCATAAGCTCGATCTACTGCACAACACAAGATAAGATTTGCATTACTGTACTCGTACTGCATAGTCGAACGGGCACATGCATACATGTCACCAGGAGATCAGATCATCCGAGACACCGAGCCACAGCTCTTGATCAGGTGGGTAGGCTTGGATGCAGAGGGTGCCTGCGACCTCTGCTTGCCTGTCCCACTCCTGTTGCTTCACCGTTTGGCTGGTGCTTCCGTGCTTGCCTCGCGCAACAATTGTGTCAGGTTCGAGAAGCATTTGCGCTTGTCTCGTTTGACAAACTGACAATTGTCCATAAGGGGTAACGGGGAGAAGTTTTTTCCCCCCTTCCGGCTGGTGGCCTGGTGCTGTGGACTGTGGTGCACCTCGTCCCAATTAGGTTTTGGGCCGCGCGACGGTAAACAAGATAGAAAGGCTATTCAATTTCCCCCCTAAAATACAGCCCAATAGCTTGAATTTCGGCCCACTTGAATGAAAGTGATTTATTTTATTTTCTCTCTCTCTTCTTTTCTATATATACGTTTCCTTCAGTCAAAATTGGTAAAAAACATAATTTTTTTTTATCTTAAATAGTATAAAATTTAAACAAAAGGATTCACTTGAACGACAAACTTGAATTAAATAAATGTAATCAAGAACAAAACAAAACAATTAAAATTGCTTCATCTTAAATAAGAAAATGCCCTAGCTTGATGATTTTATTTTAAACAAATCATTCCAATTTAATAAAATAATCATAAATATACGTGAACTGCCTGTAAACTGTAAAAAAAGAAATTTTTCGAGCCAACAAAAAGGGATGGCCATACATAAGGGATGCAAGCAGGTGCGGGCCGACCTGCCAGCCTGCTCGGCCCGCCTGCGAAAACCGCCCTTGTGGATACTGCGGGCTCCTGCTTCAAGTGACGCGGGCCGAAGCAGTCCAGCCTGCAAAGCCTAAGGTACTCAAACGGGCCGCCTGCATCAGCCTGCCAACGCCTGCAGGACCTGCGTAGACGCTGCATTGCCGCATCCCTAGCATGAGCAGTCGAGCGAGCAGAGCGCCGCATCCGCCGCGGCGGCGCTAGGGAAGCGCCGACTTCGGAGTGACGACGGCGATCTTGCATCCCTCCAATGAGAACCACTCATCCACAACTCGTTCTCCTTCTCCCTTCCCTGTTCTTCTAATCTGCTTAATCTTCTTGTTTTTTGGTGAGCACCGCCAGCAGCCATGGTTCTTCTAATCATGTGAATGACTATTGACGTATGTTCATGTTTGAGTTGTACTGAGAAGTCTAGATGGTTGGAATAACTAATGAATTAGCCAAAAGGAACAATAAGTTGTATTTAGCATGCAGACGCCTGCAGATGTCTGCAACCTGCTGCTTGTTTTGCCGCAAAGCCCAGCAGGACGTTGCAGGAACTAGTGTAGGCATTAGCAGGCTCTGCAGGTATATTTAAAAATCTAGGGCGGATGATGCGGCGGCCCTCAGGCACTCTGCAGAGCGGCCCGCTTGCATCCATAACATAGGGCATTATCCTTTTTGACATAAGTAGAGAGCCCAAGCAATTTTCTAGAGAAGGTGCCCAACCATTTTCAAAATGGAAACATTTTCTATTCTCACTTGTATTGTGCGTTCTGCATCTTGAAATATAAAGGATCTAGAGTTTAGAATTTGTATCAAAATACAAGGTATTCTGGGTCCTCAACCCCCCCCACTCATTTGTCTTTTTGGCATGAAATATTCTTTTGAAACAAAAAAGTTGCTTCTTCAAAATAGTGAAGTTACATATTTAAAACAACAAAGTTTCAACATCAAACTGTATGCTGCATTTTGAAACAACAAAGTTACGTTTTTAATACAATAAAAATTACTTATTCATATGACGAAATTACATTTTCAAAACAGCTTAGTTAGTTCTCCCGTTTAGCATGGATCTACCTAGCAATGAGATCCATGAATGATTTAAAGTTTCTAAAATGAAATTAATTATTTAACCTAAAACAAAAACAAAGTGCTCAGCCATATACCTAGAGGTGGTCATCACCAGCTTCAAAAATTCTTGAAGCTTGAGCTATGCCAAACATGTCCCTTCAAAATACTACAGTTACATCATCGGGGTGTAAGTTACATCCTCCAAGAGCACGCTTGAATGGAGAGAGAGATAATGTTTTAGGTTTTAGAAAGATGGTGGGTTAAGTTTTTCTATTTATTAGGTAATGTTGACGGTAGTTAATGTCAATCATAAACCATCAATATATCCTGCATAATTTATTAAAGTGGATCACCAATATAGGTATAATATTTTTAACTAATGAGTTTCATGAGTTTTGGTGATTTCATGACTGCAACCAGCAATGTGGACCTAATTGTCAGAGCAAATCACGTTTATCCGCGACGAAACCGACTTGGGAAGACCCTAAAACAATCCAGAAGACAACTCACCGAGACCCACACCAAGATGTCAGGGTGTGGGGGCCGGCCCCACCTGCAGGCCGACCGGCCTGTTGGGACCACATGTGAGCCCCTCCTCATTACGTCGGTTCTTCACCGCCTCAAAGATCAAATCTACGCCGTTGCTCAAGGTCGGTTCGATTCGAGGGTACAGATTTGACGTTGCCATGGATTCATGGGCCCATAGGACCCCTGGTGCCCCCTATAAATACCTCCCCATACCTCCTCGAGCAAAGCATCCTGAAACCCTAATTCACATTCTCATCATCAGGATCAGAGCCAGCAATCAAGAGAAGATTTGTCCTCCAAGTTAGGATCTAGCCTTTGTGAATAGAAATAGTGAGATAGAGTGAGAAAAGAGTTTGGAGAAAGTGCCGGCCTGTCGGTGCTCTCTACGACTTGTACTTTGGCGGAATCAAGTTCTACTTGAGCTTGCTTCTGAGATTTATTTGACAATCAACTTCTGATTCAAGTAAGTATCGTGTTTATATTGTTCATCAGATTTGCGACTCTTTTTGAGTACTTTAATCCTTGTCGCTCTTGGGTTAGAATAATATTTATAGTGTAAGTGTGGTGCTTAGACTCGGTTACTCATAGATGTACCCTGCATTCCGGATTGGTGGTAGGTCACAAGGATGACTATAAAGCCTTGTTGAGTCCTTTGTAGACCATCTCCCGTTTGTAGGCCGAGCAGGACCCGGTTACTATAGGGAAGCATACTCTGCTTGTGTTTTTCTTTAGTAATATCCTCAGTTGAACAGTAGAAGACATAGCTTATCCAAGTTAGAACTAGAAAACTCTAGTGATCTCCTCTACGCTCCTGTTTATTTTAAGCCTTGTTGCTACTCCTGATTTAGTTAGACTTTGTTAATTTCACACACGTTTCCTTAAGTTCGATATTCTAGAATATTTTCCGGTGAAGTGCTACATCGATATCCGTGTGCTTGCGAATTTATCTGTGTGCGTTTAAATATACTAGGTAAGTTTAGGGTCTCCCCTCTAAGCCTAAATGAAAAGTCTTATTCGTTAAGACTTTTAAGGGAA